ACCCCCACCCCTGCAGCCCACCTCCTGCTGTCTTGGCTTGAGCCCCTCGTCTTTCCCTCCGAGCCCCCTCCCCAGAAGAGCGCGGTATGGAGAGAAGACGCAGGTCAGGCTCAGAGGCCAGCCTAGCACCCCACGTCCAGGACCTGCCCGCACCCCGAGTCCTGCTTCTGTGAGACCATCGAGGCTTCAACGAGGCCCCCGGCGCCCTGCCTTTCCTGAACCCGCTCCCGCAAGGCAAAAGCAGATGAACCACTGGCCCAGACGCACCGACGCTGCCTGGTCCCCTCCTGAGGACTCACTCAGTCTCTAGCTGCGCAGACGAGGCCAGGCTGCCCATGGGCCCCGCCCAGGCGAGGGCCAAACTTCACCTTCGAGGGGGAAGTGACACAGCCAGTCAGCTTTGCAACCAGAAGAGTCGGGGCTGATTCGCGGACAATCTCTCCTCTAAAGCACCACCAGCGCCAAGTGAGAAAAGCAAAAAATTAACGGGGAGGAAGATGAGAGTAGGCGGGAGGGTGAAAGGCGTCTTTATTTTGCAAAGACAGGAGCACTGTGAGGTCACCTTAAAGGGCCACCCAGGAAAAGTTTACTGGGAGCATTAGGGGAAAATCTGGAGAAGTAACAGAAAAGGTCACTCTGGCAGATTCCCAGTCTGAAATGATAAGCAGATGATTAACTGGAGAAGCTCAGAGAGAAGCCCTCTGGGGAACGGAGGGGGGAAGCAAAAGATATGAGTTAACAGAGTAACACACTTGGATGAAACTGGGTGATGAGATTGCATTTTGAAATCTCCATGTAGCGAACACGCGTGTGCACACAGGCTAGAAGCAAGAGTGATCCCCAAAGCTCGAAACCTCCTAAGGCAGGACCAGGCCAACCCTCAGCCGTGTCTGTCTCTAGATGGACTTCCCAAGGAGGAGCTCCCAGGACCCCTCCTCAACCTGACGTCCGACCACGACCCTCACAGGAGGGGCTGCATCGCCTGCTACGCAGCCACCAGCCGGTCCAGATTCTCTATTTGGTTCTTCTGGGCCCCCGAGCCCACCTCACTCCCAAGCAGCTGTGACAATTACGGTTCCCGGGGCCGCAGTGAAGCTGATCTACTGCCCAATCTAATCAGAGCACAAGCGATCAATGGCCATTCTTGACAGAGTCTACATACCCATCCGGGGGGCTGAGCAAAGCTTCGGCTTGTTTGGAGGCTGAGGGATGCGGGCCCCAGACCCCGGCCCGCCCCCTCCTCCCCGGGGGCTGCTCGGTCCTGCAGCCTTTGGTGTAAACTCCCTGCAGCCCTGCTCAGGGGAGGGACCTCGGCTTGCGACAGCCCAGGTCCAGACCTGATGGCCCCACAAAACTAAAGGCTGGGGTTTCCTCGAGGAAGGCCCTCTGGTGCTTAAGGCAGAGCTGAGACTGAGTGGCCGGCGGGGAGAAGCACAGCGGGTCTGCTGTCTGGACGCCAGGAGCCGGGCCCCTCCCGTGAGAACCACTCATCCAGAGGCCTTGTTTCCACCCCCGCGGGTTTGCATATTCTCAGCAGGCCATCAGGAGGGACGGCCACTACCCTCCAGACTGAATTCACTTTCCCACCTTGACACACTCTTAAACCACCTGAATGAGAAGAAAAGAATTTTTGAAGTTAGAGCAAAAACTCTGAGTGAGAAATGTTCTGGTCTTCCTAGGAATCAACAAATCACAGACTCTCAAGCCAAGAAGGGGTCCTGAGGACCCCCGACCCAGCCCCCTTTCACAGACGGCCGCACGGCTGGTCAGGACAGGCGCTGGCCCCGGGCCCCGATGCCCGGTCCTTTCAGCGGCCTCGTTCTGCCGCCACAGCTGCCTTCCTACAAGGTCAGGAGACACACCCTCCGAGGTGCTGAAACCTGCCTTAAAACTCAGGAATGGGGACCACGCTCTGTACTTGTAACTGGGCCCCGACAGGGGCAGGACCACCTATGACCGCTGGCCGCCGTGTCCAGAGTCAGGGGTGGTGCTGGAGGCCAGGACGCCAGCGCTCACCCAGTGGATGGAACCAGGGGCCCACTCCCTGCTGGCCCAGCTGCTGAGTCCCCGAGGTTTTCCCTTTGGAGGCACACGGTGGCCTGGAAGCTGGGAAGCCCCTCTGTCTGTGTCCGTCTGGGTGGGAGAGGCCTGCTCCAGGGCCAAAAACCTGGAGACAGAGACGAGCTGCTCCCCTCCACGCCGGCAGTTCACACACACCTTGGTGGGGTCCACAGGCTTAGAAGTGGGATTCCAGCCGCCTTTCGCCCCGAGTGGCGCTAACATGCACACGATTTGCTCAGGGCAGGGAAGCAGAGGAGCTGACGCCCTGCAAGTGGGCCGAGGAGACAGGCCAGGGCTTGTCCTTCTTTCAAACCCTTCCAAGGCGCGGCCTGGGGCCTCAGGCACGAGGGGGAGAAGCAGTGAGGCTTCAGCCAGAGACTCAGACTCTCAGAGGCTGGTTGTCACTCCCAGAGGTGCGACCTGCCCAGAAAACCTCTGGCCAAGGCCGACGAGGCCCTCCCCCCAGCACTGACCACCCATCCAGGCACCGCGGTGACAGGGCGGAACCCCAGAGGTAGCGAGGAGGCCCCTGGCCATCATCTTGCGGACCAGCACAGCCTGGAAAGAGACCAGATTCACAGTCTGTCTCACAGAGTCGGTTGCATAAGAGAGAGCGCCTGAGATCACGGGCTGGTCCACACCACGGGCTCTGGCCCCAGAGCCTGGCTTCCTGAGTGGAGAGGCCTGACACAGAAGGGCTGGAGGGAGGCACGGGACACAGCCCGACCGGGTTCCGAGAGCCGCCCGCGCCCCCGAAAGGCACAGACGGAGCGGAGGGCGTGCCGCGGCCCCTCTGCCTGGTCTGCCTGATGCAAGAGAGTCCAGGTGACGTCCTAATAATTCAGTTTCCTTTTCCAGTCCTGGCCCAGCACCCAGGGTGTGCCGGAGAGTCAGGGTCAAGGCCAAGGCCTCGTGCCCGCTCCCCTCCCCCAGAACAAAGGAAACGCTACAGTGGAAGATATGAAACTTCACTCTGACTCAGCATCCCCCCCACGCAACGCCCCCCC